GGGAGGGGGGCAGGGAATGAATTTGAGATGGCCCTCCAATAATTAGATTCTATCCAATGGAAAATTATAAAAAAATATATATATAACATTTTCTGTGTATAGAATTTAATTATTAAGGGGTCTTAAATTTAAAGTAATCTTAGAATTGGGTAAATAAGGTACGTAGTAATGATGAAATTTGAAAAATGGAGTGGAATGATGTGGTGTAAAATAACCTTGAGCTTTTCTCACCAGGCCACTGAGCAGGAGATGAATTCGGAGTTGCATGCTCTTCAATGCTTTCTGTCCTCAGCCTGCGTCGATCACTCAAAAGCAGCCCTTGATAAACCATTCCTGTAAACTGATTGGTCTCTGCTTGACTGCTAAATACAAATCCATTTTTTCTCATTAAAAAGGATTTTCAAATATTTTTGTAATAAAGTACCTACTTATTATGGTAAGATTCTTTTTCATTTTTATCTTTCATTTTAAGGAAAGGATTTCTTAGGGTAATATTTTTTATTGGAACAAATGCATAATTGGGATTAGAGTTAGATAAGCTTTCGAATGTAAGAGATTTTTCTTCAGGTCTGAGAAGTAAAAGCAGGCTTAGCATAGTAAAAAACAGCTGGAAAATGAAGGGGGGAGAAATTTCCAGAGATAGCAGACAAACATTTTGCAGAAAAAAGAAGCTTGATCAAGGTCTATCAAAAGGGAGGAGAGGGTCGTTTTCAACTTTCATGTGTGGGAAGAATTCAGAAAACAGGGAGGTTATAATGTGCCATAAAACTAGTATCAGGGTTGACTCCTTGCTTGTTCGTGTCCAGCCACTTTTAAAAGGTGAACTTAGAAGCAAAAATTCATAAACTGTCTGTACACCTTCATAAGCTGTCAGTAACAGTAGCTTTATTCACAACTCCAGTTTCTTTTTAGAACATTAACTGTATTACCTATACATAGGCACATAAAGTCCTACACCTTCAACTTACATATGGAATATGTAAGAGTCTACACATGCTTAATCTACTTTCTTTAAATATATGCCCAAATAATTTACATTTTGAAAGCTTAGTTTTAAATATAACCCCCCCAAACACAATATATTTCAAACACGGAAGTGTTAGAGAAGTTCTGTTTTTACCTGTAACTATGACTGTCGCACAGTGCTTGATAAATAGAGGCAGAAAGTGAAGCCGCTAATGAATGAAGTGTATACACCTAAAAGAAAACCAGTGACCATTAGGTTTTATTCAAAGGACTGTATCGAATGACATTTTTCTCTCAAAGTCAGACTGAAAATATTAAAGAGGACTGACTCATGTGGAAGCAGGCACAATAGGCAGAAATGCAGTCACTTAAGTAGTTTTGCACTGCATGTGAAAAGCAATCATTAAACAAGGTATTTATTTTATTTTTAAAATATCGCATTTTGAAAATCCTCTCTCAGTTGTTTGAGCTAAATTACAGTTGAGTTACACACGGATTTCTATTAGATGTAATACTACAATCAAAATTCTTCCTCTAAGGTGAAGGTGCTTAAGAGAGATATTCCAGTTATGTAAGATATCAGTATAACATAAATTATACTAACTCCCCTCCCCACCCCCCAAAAACACCCTGTCACCACCAATGGAGTGAATAACTAGAAACGTTCATATTATTAAATTGACTGCATATTCTCATTTTGTTCTTGGCATTTCAGCTACAGAATATACATTATCTCTCAGTATCTGTGGAGCAATTCAATATATATTCACTGGCAAATAATGGTGGTTAGCCAAGAGCATAAAGATGTGCATAATCATCACATGGGTATTTTGTAATAGCCATCCATACATATACATCTCTTTCACAACCATAATCTTACTTCTCTAAATCATTATTGTGCTTATAATTTTCTAATGGTCTGCCAACAACAAGGACAATACTTCAGCTTTTCAATATCTTCAGTCAAAATGCTAAGGAAAAATATGAAGTTGAAAAAGACAAGGAAATGGCAGCTTCATGCTGCCTGAAACCTTACAATTTTTTCTCCTGTCCCATTCTTTCTCTTTTTCAGCAGGATACTTGACCTTAGAATAAGTACTGTATTATTTATGTTTTTGGTTTGTATTAGAAAAAAATGTTATCGTTCAAATACAGTTTTGACATAAAATGCAATCCAAATATGTATATCACAGTTGTAAGGAGGAAAGAGTGCCTTGCTGACGTGTAATGCTAAAAGGAAGAAATGGAGATAGATGCTAATATATAGAGAAAGAAGAACAGGATGGAGAGGAAAGTTAAATACAAGGCACTCATTGGAAGGGCCAGAAAGTATTTTTAATTTGACTTTCAGCAGTTTGAGAATAAAAGTTTCATTTTCCAGATTTTTCTTCTTTAACTATGGATACTAAATTAAAATCTGCAGGATAATAATTTGAGAGGACTTTCTATTAAGTTAGCAGTAAACCATTTCATGGACTAATAAACTCCTTGGGTTTTCTGATCCATCTTCATGTTCTCTGAATATCCTGCTTTTGGCTTCAGCAATTATTCATCCCAAAACACGTGGCCAAGTTTTCAGACAGTGTAAGCCAACATTACTTTCTGAAAATCAACAGACTTACAGCAATTTGCATCAGTGGAGGATCTGGCTCAGGACTTACACTTGCATTTCTGGTCAATCATGCTGGCTGCCTCAAGAGCTGAGATTCTTTGACATTCATGCATGAATGGGATTGGGAGGGAAATAGCTAAATGGCAACAGTTGGCCAGTGACAGAGAAGGTAAAAATAGCAGCCATTTACCCAGGCAGAACATTACCAGAAGCATAAATCAATACACCATGTTATTCTGCATCCCATCTCCATATATATAAATAATAGCTATGAGATCACATTTTGTATTTAGAGATAATTTCTTTTGCCATTACCTTCACATCTTCAACATTAGGATGTGGTGGAGATTTCATCTGCACAATAGTGTAAAGAATGTCATGGATGTGATTATTTAAGTACAGCACGGGATTGGCTATCACAGTTTTGGTTGAAGCAATGCTTGCTGAAAGGAGTGGTAGTGTTGTTGGTAATGGAAGTGGTGACTGGAGCTGCTTTACTGTTGTTTCCTGTTTAAAAGAAAATGCAGTATGGAAGATGATCACTTAGCTGAGAATGGGAACAGAGCACTCATTTTAAACCTTAATTTAACAGTTAATTTTCCTCCATGTCTTTTCTATATAAAGTAGACAGGATTCTATGGTCATTTTAATCAGAGGCCAAGGCTCCCATTGCCTTCAAGGATGCAGGATTCGAGTCCATAGATATCATTTTATTATTCACTCAAATTGTCTGCAATGTATTTGACTCATTGCAGATAGATAAGAACATTGGTCCTAAACAGTGTGTGGGAATTATTTCATACAAAATAACACCAGTAATAAAAACAGTAGTACTAAAATGAGCTGAGATATTATTTTTATAATTAAGCTCAGGCCACTGAGTAGTAAGTAAAATATGCACATATATAACAGCTGCCATTTGAGGATCTCAGGATATCTTATAACCAATATACGGACCTCTGCAGCACTCATTTACCAAGTGTTATTTTTGCTTTAATAATGGCAAACTTGAGACAAAAGAAGTTAAAAGACCTGCCAGCATCATATAGAGTCTTCCACACAGCAGCAAATAGAATCCAGGTCTTATAGTTCCAAGCTTTAGCTGTGGGACATTTTATCTAGAATAATATACAGACAATGCCCCATGACAATATAATGGGGTACTATAGCAGGGGGCAGGGACAAAGGAGGAGTACACCTCCCTGGCCCGAGCTTGTAGGGATTTGGTAAGGAAGGCTAAAGCAGCACTGAAGTTTAGATTAGCTTCTGGGATTAAGGATAACAGAAAGTCCTTTTTCAGGTATATAGGTAGCAAGAAGAAGTCTCAAGGTAACATTGGGCCCCTACGAGGCGAGGCAGGGCAGGACAGGGCAGCTGGTGACGGACGCGCGAGAGAAGGCAGAACTCTTCAACGAGTTCTTTGCCTCCGTGTTCCTGTCCGCTGACAATGGGGTGCTCTCTGGTGACAGTGTAGAGAGGCCCGGGAAGGATGCGAGTCCCCCGATTGTTAGCTCAGTCCTAGTTAAGGATTACCTGGAGGGCTTAGATGTGTCCAAGTTGGCGGGCCCGGATGATCTTCATCCATGGGTGCTGAGGGTATTGGCTGGTGTCATTGCAGAGCCATTGGCACGGCTGTTCAAGG